TTCTTGCTAAAAGGAGCAAAACATTTTAAAGAAGATGTCACATTTAAAGTAGATCACATGAATATTGATAATGTTTATAACAATCTCCACTAGATCTGTGGAGACATTAGGAGATCTGTGTGACATTAGGAAAGGCAGAATTATAATTTTCAGAACATGTTAAGTTTCAGTTTGGATGAAGAAATTTATGCTCCTATTTAATGGAGCATAGAACTGGAAGTAGGAGGAATGTGCTACTGAAAAACCATCACATTATATCTGTTTTGAGCTGTAGCCTTTATTTTTATATCTTTAGTCAGCACCAACACTTGTGAAGTGGATGTTGGTAGGAAATATAAGGGCAAAATATTGTATGAAAATATTTGATGTTTTTGCTTAGGTGTAAGAGATGTTTGAGGAGAAAAAGTAAAACTGATTTGTTGACTATTTCAAGTCTTTAAGTTAAGATGTCAAGCAAATTTTGTGTTACTGCTGTAATACCAAGATACAAGCTGATTTCAGTCTTTCCGATAGCCGCCAGAACTAGTGCAGGGCTTAGCTTTGCTGCCTGGTTAGCCACTACCGACTGACTGACTGCTTGGTCCCTTATCTTCTATCACCAACTCCAAAGCCAGGGAATAGCTGAGTTGGGGGCCCAAAGTGGAAGAAGCTGTGGAATCTGCTAAGATTGTAAATCTGAGCATGCTTACGGTCATGGAAATGTTATCCTTCATTTTCTTAGTGATCATGTCTGATTCATTTTGAGGGAGAAGCACTAACACTCTTGAACTGATTCATCAAGATAGGTAGCATCTTTGTCTCTAGATGAGTATGGAAAATTACCTGACCTTTGATGGATAGTATGATAAAGTAGAGACATAAGCCTAGGCTGAGTTTCCAGGAAGTGTAGGCAGAATACTATCATTCTTCCATTTACAACAGAGATTAAAGGCATTTCTTAAAGGGGAGGGGGAGGAATTCTTGCTCAGAGAAGTCGCTGAGACTGTTTCTCTTCTCTTGAGAGTAAGCGTATTGTGCAGAATTAATACAGACAGGAAGAAGCAATGTCTAATTAAGAAAAATACATTCTTTTTCCAGTCAAGAAAGTATCTCATTCATACTTTAATAATGGTTAGAGCTGCACTACAGAAATGATAGTGGTGTCCCTTCAGAAAATTCTTACCTGTACAAGCTTTCAAACTATGTTTGAAATAAACATAAACATTACTAAGAATTTACTAATTTTACTTATTTAAATCTGTGCCATTGAGAACGCAAAGTGTTATTCACTAGTTTAGATTTGAGCCAACTTCAGTGGGATTCCATATAGTGAAAGTAAAATACATCACTGTCAGGCTAGACACACAAGGCTTGATCCTTTGACCACCATGTAGCCTCCATTCAGGATTCCCAAACTATTAATGGGACAGTTCTTTATAGGGTGTACTTTTATGTATGTAAGTAGAAATACAGTAACCCTTCCTAAATGCTAAAGGATTTATAACAGATTTCTGCAGTCAGGAATGTACCTCAAGCTTGATTATTTCATGCACATATAAATGGTTTTGAGTGAAACATAGTCAGTGACTATCACTTTTATCTTTTAGGTGAGACAAAAAAATGTAATTTCCTTAAAACAGTCATAGAACATTTTTCATTGCAGTATTACCTTGCAAAATATTTGTGTCATTAGAGGAAAAAGTATGTATTTGCAGAAATCAGACTGTGTATTTATTTTAGTAAGTGCTGCTAAACATTAGTTATTAAAGGAAATGCAAGAGACAAGAGCCTTGGGACACCTGTTCATCATAGCAAATTGTCACCTTGTAGAGGAGAGGAGAAATAAAATATTTCTGCTTCATAAATGGATTTCAATGCACTTTCATAAATATCTTGCTGCTACACAGAGCTGAAAACACTTTAGCAAAGAAAAGTCATTATTCCCAGGTTAAATGGATACAGACCCAGAAAGTTGACTTCTAAGAGGTCACCTGGAAGGTTGCTGGACAAGAAGATATACTGAATAAAAAGCAAAAAAAGGAGGGGAAATGAAAACACAAGAAGGAGCATTTTTTAATTCAGACTTTTCAGTCATTTTTTGGTGACTATTATTTCATAAAGGAAGTTACATATTTTGTAGCAAACTCAAGCAAAAAATCATATTGAACAGTGCAAAACAAGAGGAGAGTGTAATATTGATTACTGCATGAAATAAACCATTCATTTAATGAATCTTGTTAGTCAATCAGCAAAATGGTTAACCTTCTGCATGAAGTACTTGTCACCCTACCGACGGGTGGACAAAAGCACTTAATCTGATATTCAGCAAAGACTAGTGGAGGAAGACATGAGGGTATTAATCCTTCGTCCTGGGAGAAGATTGCTGTCAGCTTCAAAAGAAAATTTCTGACTACTTGCAGGCAGGGGTATCAAGTTGAAGCACAAATAAAAGGGTTGCTTGGACAGTTGGGTGAGATCAAAGGGTGGCTTTTTCAGATGTTCTGGAGCATAAGAAAGAATAAATCAAGAGCAGGGAAATAACAATAATGCAGCAGGGGTTAGTGCATTTAGCAGCTGCATTTACTTTTATGATCTGGAATTATTGTGGTACTGCAGAAGGCAAATGCAAATGAGAGTTAATATGATCAGGACTATAACGATAGGTCTTGGTGAGGCAGATGTCTATAAAAGTTACCATCTACTTTCCTTGTGAAACAAATCCAAACCTCAAATCAAAATAGTTCAGCCATGCTGGTGATGCAGGCTCCTAATCTATGTCTTAGGTCAGAGTGACACATCTCTTTGAGTCCTGCTTCAATCTGTGCGCATATAATAGCATTTTCACTGGAGGTGGAAGGTGTTGCAGAGTGCATGTGGTTGCAGTGTTGGTGGAGTCATAGAGGCAGATGAGAAGCCTCGCTACAGGAAATGTGATCGTTAGGGAAATGATCTGTCATGAAATTCATTGTAATGCCACATTTCAGAACAAAAAGTTCTTCAAAGCTTTTAGCTCAAAAACAAACTCAAAACCAAATCCCTATGACTTCTTCTCATACTGTGACAGGAGATTTCACTCATAATGAAGAATGCTGGGAATGACTGACAGTGTGTGATGCTGAGCATTTGAAGTGTTGGATGTTGGTTTTTTGTTCACAGATTCTTTCTAGAAGCTTCACAATGCAGTTGCTGGAGAAGAAACCAGTTTGACTGCAAATAGATCCTAGCTTGGTCTCTCTGCTCATTATCTTTATGAAACACTCACTTTTC